AATGAAGACATCTGTACTACCTCCAGAGTTCAAAAGAACCAAATTTATTGCAATTTTAAAACTTGGAAAGGACGTTGAACTACCAGAAAACTATCGACCCATTGCCCTCCTCAGTTGCTGCTACAAACTACTAGAGCGACTTATATATATATATATATATATATATATATATATATATATATATATATATATATATATATATATACATATATATACCCAGGATACCCCAACAGGATATACCCCATCACCGATACTGTGATACCAATCGAACAGGCCGGATTTAGAAGCAGGCGTAGCTGTAGTGATCAAGTACTGTCCTTAACGACATTTATTGAAGCCGGTTTCGAAAAACGGGAAAAAACAGCCGTAACGTTTATAGATCTGACGGCTGCATATGACACTGTGTGGAGAGAAGGCCTAATCTACAAGCTAATGAAGGTCATACCAAGCCTGAAAACCTGCCAACTAATCAATAACCTCCTAACCAACAGACTGTTTCAAGTATATATAAACGATACAAAGAGCAATGTCAGAAAGCTAAATAATGGCCTCCCACAGGGTTCAGTGCTTGCTCCATTATTATTTAACATTTACACAGCCGATGTTCCAGAGACAAAATCAAAAAAATTTGCTTACGCAGATGACCTGGCTATCGCATTTCAAAACCAAGCCAAAGATGTTGGAGAAAGGGTGCTTACCGAAGACTTAAGGGTTCTCTGCGACTACTTTAAACAATGGCGACTTCGCCCTAATAAAAACAAAACTGAGACAAGCCTCTTCCATCTCACAAATCAGCTTTCGGGTGACACCCTTAGCATCACCTTCAATGGCGAGACTTTGAAACATAATAACAACCCTAAATACCTGGGTGTAACGCTCGACAGATCACTGACGTTCAAAACCCATCTTACGAATGTAGCTGCCAAAGTGAGAACCCGTAACAACATAATAACAAAGCTTGCTGGAACGACATGGGGTGCCACTGCGGATACACTTCGAACCTCCTCACTGGCCCTGGTGTATTCTGTCGCTGAATACTGCGCACCGGTATGGCTAAATAGCGCTCATGTCAACAAGATTGATGTTCAACTAAATTACACTATGAGAGTAATATCTGGTACTATTAAATTAACTCCACTAAGATGGCTTCCAATTCTGATCAATATAGCACCTCCAGATATTCGACGAACGGCAGCACTTGTCAGAGAATATCAGAAAATCATGGCAAATAATCGTCTGCCAATTCACCAGTATATTCCGCACGCCGCACGAGACCAACAAAGACTGAAGTCCAGACGACCCCCTGTCCAATCCGTTCAGGGAATGGGTGATAGCTACAATAAGCAAGAGCAGTGGACGAAAAGATGGATGCCAACAACAGAGCCAGACGTCATCAAAATAACAAGTACGTCGATCGGCTTCACTGGATCAAACCTGCCACGCCCTACCTGGACAAAATTAAATCGCATACGCACGGGTCATGGCAAATGTGCCGATTCTCTATACCGATGGGGTCATGCAGAAAGTCCACAATGTGATTGTGGATCCCTGAGACAGACCATCCAACACATCATAGCGGATTGCCCAATCCGCAGATACAGCGGAGACCTTCAAGATTTTGCAGAGTGTTCTCCTGGTGCAATTGAATGGCTGTGCAATTTGGACATTAATATTTAATATTTAACTTAGGTTACAATTCCAATTTGAACATAATTATTATCTAAATACTACTTCTATCGTATTGTAATTATCCATATGCTAAATAAATAAAGTGGGTTTCTTTATAAATGCATATGCTATTCATATTTACTTGATTAAGAGCATATTGCCACATATTTGAAAATATTACATAAATAAAATGGTGTTCTATACATATTTAGATAATAGTTTCTTGAAATTATTCATAGCAAGTAGCACTAGGTAAGGTAACTACGAAATAATTTTATTACAAATATCTACTAAATCTACAAGTTTTATTGTTTGGTTATCAGAAGAATAGGGCCTACGTGCAGGTAGGTATTATACAGTAATTCGTTTTTAAATTCTCTTTACCAGAATTTTTTTTTTTTTTAATATGCCGAAAGTAGCGAAACAAAAATCAAGTCTATTGCGGAGTTAGGTTGGTGGCAACAGTGAAATGAAGATTATAAACAATCAAAGTGTTTGTTTTCTGTACTATTTGTGATGAAACATGTAACAGTTTGACCATTTGGCGGTAGTTTTAGTTTCGAGAAAAAAAAATATAAGTTATCTTAAAAATTTGAAGTCCATATTATTGCATTAGACTCCTATTTACTAAACCGTTTTAGTACAGATTCTATGTGAAAAAAATTCCAAATTTCCCAACACCTGAAAACGACTCTCCACCAATATATAAAATATCTAAAAACTAACTATGTTGAGAAATAAATCGTCAATTTTTTAAAATTTTCATTTTTTTTGAAGGTTAAGTACTTATCGGACAGGCCTAGTATTAAAAGATTTCACCTATCTTATTTTCATGTCATTGTCAATCACAACCCCAAAAATTAGCTTCAGAGTTAAACACTAAATAAAATATTAAGTTTCTGCAAACTTATGTTGACTCTCCATTCTTTATGTACTCCTTAAACATATCATAGGAATCTTGTGTAATCATAGCTCGGTTATTTGCGAAGTTAATGCTGGTTAAGTAACCATCGCCTCCTGACATTACCATACCGGCACAGGTGCGTTTCCAGTAATGTAAAAATAAAAAGAAAACTGAAAGAAAAAAGCAAGTTTTTATCTTTAGGTTTCTTGTATTCAATAAAAAATCTTGGTTTTTGATTTTGAAACATTTTGAAATCACATTTATTCCGTTATTGAATTTCATTTTATATTTACGTTATAGTTGTTAAGAATATTAATGATGTATTTTGATACTTGGAAGGCTCTGAAGGCGCAGAGAGATTCAAATAGCTACAGCAACACCTTAAACTCAAGAAAGTTACTCAAGACGCCGTATGTCAGAATTATTAAATGTTAGTCATATTTCGATAAGTAGAGCCTGGACCAGATATGAAATGTATGGAGTTATTAGAAGACCACCTTATACGCATCGTGCAAGGGTAACTAAATCGAGAGGATCGACTTTTACAACTATGGGCCGTCAAAGATCGTCGAAGTACTGAGTTATCGTGAGTTGAATGCAAAAAGGTCAGCTAGAATGCCTGCTTCGTCCCTTGCTAGAGCCAGACGCTTGTTTAAAGAAGAACACATGAATAAGATCATGGCAAAATGGACTAACGTGATGTTAAAGTCTGGAGAAGACCAGCCGAGCGCTTTTTGGATTTCACAATTTAAGAAACCAGTCTTTTGGCTAAGGTTCAATTATGGTTTGGAGTGGGATAAACTTAAATGCCCGTTTTGATCTAGTAGTTATTCGGCGAGGGCATTGACGGCAGGACGGTACATTAACAAAGGTTTTAAACCACATATTATCCCATTTGCTGAAAGTATGGGTCTAGAATTTATTCTTTAACAAGATCATGTGACTTGACTACCAACAATATTCAGGTTACGCAGTGGCTAGCGAGAGGTGCAGGTTTAAATCTAATTAAACACATTTGGGATACACTCTGGAAGCACTTGAAGGATCATAAGCCACTAACAAAACTTAGAACATGTCGAGGAAGTTCTCGTTGAAGAATGGGAATAACATCTAGATCAAAAAACTATTCGAAATGTGATTGAAAGCGTGCCTGGACGTTGCGCAGAAGATCGGCGAGTTAGATAAACCCATACACGCTATTAGTTTTGTTTTAAAATAATTTTTAGCTACGCTGTTATTAAAAACATAAATCAAATTTTTCACAAGAAAATTTACAGATCAGTTACAAAAACTTCGTCATACTTCTAGCGAAAAGCCTTAGACGTAATTAAATAAAAATAATATAATTGATGGATTCGACCGTTACTTGATGGAAATTCATTTTATGTAACAATCTTCTTCTTCTTTAGGTACCGTCTCCACTAAGGAGGTTGGTAATCATCACAGCTATTTTCACATCACAGCTATTTTCACAGACACAGGAGATGTGTCTTGCTCCAATACTTCGTTTTTCCTGTATTTTTCCCTGCATTATGGTTTGTAGCACCACATATTTATCTTCTCTCATAACGTGGTCGAGATATTGGAACTTTCTTATCTTAATCGTATTCATGATTTCCATTTCCTTTGTCATCTTTCTGAGGACCTCAACATCTGGTATTTGGTCTAATAAATTTTGTGAAAGTTTTAAAAACAAAGTTTTCGTTCCGTTCCGTTCCGTTTTCCAGTTCCGTTTTCGTTTTGATCAGTATCACTACTAATGTAGGCGTGGTTACTACTACTCTACTACTCCGTGGCGTTACAACCCTTCGGGGGTTTTAGCCGACTCGACAGCATGCCTCCACTGTTTTCTGTCTTGAGCAACCTCCATCCAATTCTCCACGCCCATAGTGCTTAGATCTCCTGCTATATTATCTCGCCACCGGACACGAGGGCTTCGTGGATGTAGGTCTTGTTGTTTCTGTATATTTCTTTTGAAATTTTAATTATTGTTGCCTGCTCAACGTCAAGTTCATGTAAAGCTTCCCATAATTTTGACCTCGCTAGGTTTTGTAACTACCAGACTAACTAGCAGACGTTTTATAACTAGCAAAAATTAATAAAAATAACGTAAATGTAATGTATCTAATAAATAGTACAGTAAAGTTACTAAAATCGCAAAAATGTATTACTAAGCAGGAAGATAAACTGAAAAACTGTTATTTAACCGTTTCGATAAACTTAGTTGTATTATCATTAGATTATACTGAATACCTGGAGGTCATCCACTAATTTAAAAAAATACGAAGTCTACATTAACATCGTAGTTATTAATATATTCCATAAAAAATATAACAACTATACTTTCAAGGATTCAATCTCACCAAAAATTAATATTTACAGAACTGATTCGATTCTAACACATCAATCCATTGTTGCTGTTGTTGTAAAACCATCAAGATGAAGTGGCTTTTTATTTTGTCGTGTATTGTGTTTGTTGAAAGTGCAAAAAACTTACGTAAGTGTTTTACGTATATACTTTTGTTGGCTTTGGTATAAAAAAAACAATGACTATTCCAAAAAGAAAAAATATTATTGAAGCAAACATTTAGTAAAAAAATCAACAAAGTTATTTAAATTGGTTAAGAATATACATGGAACAAATAGCTTTTTAATATAGTGCCATCCAAAAAAAACCGTAATTAAAGGATCCCATAAGATCGCTTATTTCTACAGGTCGATGGTAGTATAGTCACCATTCTGAGTTGAGTCTCCTTCATTCTGCTTATGTGATTATATTATGTGGTTATTGCATTCTGTTTTTATATCTTGTCTCCATTCTTTTATACACTGTACGTTATATTTTCTTCACTTCTCTTTCTTGTAATGTAATTCTTCTTAGTACTCTCATCTCTGCCATTTTCAGTAGCCTTTGTGTTGTGGCTGTGTCGGGTCTTGTTTCTGATGATATAAGTGGGGAAGAGTAGTAGACAGTGAAACAAAAAAAAGTTTTTAAGTTTAAAAAATTTATTTTTGCAATAAAAGGAAAATTTTCAAAAGAATATGTGAAACTCACTCTTTCTTAACATTCTAAGGTTCTCTTAACATCTCAGAAAATTATTTTACTGTGTACCAAAATTAGTACACAGTGAAGCATATTATATCTAGTGTCTTAAGAAAATTTTTTGACCACGTAAAGCCCTTGACTTTGACCTCGAACGTCTAACGATCCAAAGTTACTATTAAATTTGTAGTAACCTACAGTGCTTCCTATACAATACACATATTTTTAACTTATTGATTCTTATAGCTAAAGACAAAGATTGAAAAGAAAAAGTACAGCTGTCCTTTGATAATCCGTATGGGACCAAAAGTGTGTCGAATTACCAAAAGTGTCCGGATTACCCAAAGTGATTATATATTTGGCATTGTTTTGCTAGCAATAAATTTAACTAAATAAATACATAAATAATAATGATAAATTAATAAATAAATAATAACTTATATACATTATACATACTAATAACTAAATGCCGCAACTAAAAAAGATTAATAATTATGGACGTATGTAAATACATACTGTGCTCACACTTTAAAGAAATCTTTGATTGTCTTTTGCTGTTTCTTGTTTAGACTTTCCATTATTGCTTGTTCTTGTATCTCTTTTAGGATCAAAACTTTTTTAAGTCTTTTCGCACCAATGCATCAAAGTGTTTGTAGCCAATATAGCATCACCACAGTTGACAGTGAAAGATTTTTCATCCTATGCTTCCTGTTAAGTCAGCATGGAAATTATCATCTAAATCCACTTTTGTAAAGCTTCTCTTGATTCTGATGAATTAGTCATATCATTGCAAATCTGAAGGGCAGCATCTTAAACAACTTGCACATGTTGGTCACTGGATTCTTTGTTAACTTCTTTTGGAAGGAAAGGGTTGTTGAGCCAAATATTCTTTCACGATTTATTCAGTGTGATAGGCTTGACTTGCTGCCATGCAAACGCAGCATTGATAATCGCATCTTTGATGTGTAAGTTTTTCAAAATTAAAGTGATATCAGCATTAGTTTGACTTACAATGTCAATAAGGAGTTGTTTCTTGTAGTGTGCCTTGAGAGTTTTAATAACGTTTTGATCCATGGGCTAAGTAAATAATTAAAATTATTATGGAGCTCTTTCCTTAAGGGGTCCATCATAGGCACATTTTCCCTATCATTGTATAAAAGACAAAAAATATTCATCGTTTATTATATTATTAAGTAAATTACACATTATTGTATTTCTTTAGCAAAACATTAAAAAATAGTTTATTGCACTTAAAATTTGTCAAATAATATATTGAAACACAACTCTTATTCCAATGGTTTTTTTTTAAACGACTTCCAATTCTTTAAGTATACATTTTCTCTTATTAAATTAAAATTTAATCGATCAATTTAATAATAATCTGTAACATTACCTCTTGAGCTTAAAAGTTGATTTTTATGTGTAATATTAACAGATTCATTAAAATTTTTAACAAGTCTTTTAAATGAATCCTTAAATTTGTTATTGTGCATTTAAAAGTAAATTTAGCCCAATTTAAAGTAAAATAAGCTTAAGGTCTTTATGGAATGCAGCTATGTTTGATTTTTGTTTGTCATTGTAATATATTAGATAAATCTTGTCATATAGTACCTTACACGTTATGATTGGTCCAATAGTAGCAGTCTAAAACACCTTAGGCATGCGATCATGTTTAATTTTTCTTTGTCATCGTATTCTATTCGTTAAATCCTCTCATAAGACATAACGCACTGTCCTGTATGTTTGGTCATGTAGGCACTATAAGCTCAATGTCTTTTTATAATTCACCCTCTAACTTTAACCCTTTATTATTTACTTCTTAAGCTACCCTCTTTGCAACGATTCCTCATACGCTACGATCCGACCAGCCGTTCTTGAGCTGAACGACGACAGAATGAAAGTGGAAAGGAATAGCCCAACCGCCGCAACCTTTACTATAATTTAAATAAATTAAGCTAACCCTACTTCTATTGGTCGTATAAAGCTTTTTTAATATTTGTCTTAACTTCAGCTATAAACGGCAATAAGTTAAAAATGTGTATAATGTATAGAAAGCGCTGCAGATTAATTAATTTATAACGCAAAAGTCAATTGTATTTTAAATCCATAAATAAGAGTAGAAAATTTGTTGTCTATCTTATATTTAAAAAAAAAGTTCTGGCCCTGCAAAATTTATAAACATTTAAGAATTTTTATAAACAGTTAAACGTATCGAAATAATAGATCGTATCTTAGAAAGTCTTATTCGATTTATTCTAATATTCTAATATTCTAATATATCTTATTCTAATGCTTTTTGCGTAAAAAGATGCTTTTATGTACTTTGATAATATTGTACTTATTTTATCCTAAAATATTGATTTGATACAATAAAAAACAGTTTGGAAGTCAACGCACGTAAAGGTTACTCCATGTATTGCCCTTCATAACTTGCTTGTTTCAAAAATTCCCCAATGAATGCACGTTTTTCTCTCTATATCTTGAGCTTTCTATTGATACTAGAGACAGATACTAGAGACATAGTAGATAGTAGAAGCAAAGTTTAATGCTAAACTGTGGTAGGTTGTTTTACATTGTACAATTTAATTTTTTATTTTTTGTGTTTATAACTATTTTAATATACAATAACTTTGATACATTATAAAGATATTGATGACGATAACTAAATACAAATTTGTAACCCAAATTTTTCTAACGTTTTTTAGCTTCGTTCGTCGAAGTATGTCCCCGTGATAATAAGGGGGCAGCAGAATGCTTAAAACGAAACGTAGAAAGCCTAAAACCAAGGCTTGCTAAGGGAATACCTGAACTGTTTGTACCACCACTAGGGCCCCTTATCTTACCGTCAGCTGAAATTGCATCAAGCAAAAGTTTTTCGTAAGTAAAATAAATTTAAGAAGTAAACATTAATTTTTAATTATTATCTTCTCTATTTGTAGACTGTATCCTTTTACGCTTAACACCATATTCTTTTTTAGTTAGAATTTTTGAATATTTATTTTCCATTCTCTATATTAAAAAGCTCTAAATATGTCGACCTTAAAAACACCTTAAAAACAATAAAGCACCTGGTAAAGACAGTACCATCCATGATCTACTTAAACTAAGAGATAATGAACTATTGAAACAGCTAAAAATTATATTTATATTTATAGATGACTTCCAGAATGGAAATTACCAAATGTTTGGAACATTGTGATTATATTTTTCTCCTTCGTAATGATGTAGTGACGTCATGTTATTTGTTTGACTATTTCTATCCAATTATCTCTCTCCTGTGCATGTTGTTTTTCTTCGAAGAATGAGTAACCAGTCGTCTGTTATTTGATCCGACCATAGTACTGGACATCTTCCTCTGGATCTTTTAACCGCTACGTTACCTTCAACTATCATTCACTCCATGCCTTCTCTTCTTCTAGTTATCTTCTTCTTTCAGTGCCCTGTCCGATTATCGAACGTTGGCAATCATATTGGCAATAATAACCTTATTCACGGCGGCTCTAAATAAATTAGCGGTGGTTTCTTGATACCATTCTCGGACATTTCGTAGCCAGGATGTTCTTCGTCGGCCTGGGCCTCTCCTTCCGTCGATCTTACCCTGTATTATGAGGTGTAGAAGGTTATACCTCTCTGGATGTCTCATTACATGATGTTAGTTATCTTAGATAGATGTCTTCTAGTTATATGTCTAAAATATCTGAGTATATTTTGGTTGATAGTTATGATGAGTCTAGTTTTTATCCTAAGTTATGCTAGAATTGAGTTATTTTTGCAATGGGCAGTCCATGGTATGCGCAAAATTCTACGGTAAACCCACATTTCAAATGCCATCATACGCTTTAAATCGGCTTTTTTTTAATTGTTCAAATTTCTGCAGCTAGTTGGCGATAAGAAATCTCAATGCTCGAACAAGGAGTAATTTTGTGTTTTTTGTGACGTCAGTGTTCTTCCAAATTTTTGTGAGTTTTGCTGTTGCCGATCTGTGATATGTCGACGGACCTCCTCTTCGCTTCTTCCACTGTTAGTAACAATGGAGCTTAAGTAATTAAATTGCCTGACCACTTCGTAACCTGCCATGTTTCTTATCTCTGCTTGGTTGTTTCTGATTCTATCGATGATCATCACTTTGGTTTTTTGCATATTTATTTTCAAACAATATTCCTAAGTGAGAGCGCCCACCAAACTGGCGTGGCACGTGGCAAGTAGCAAAGAGCACGGGTCTAGCATGTTGCTTAAATGTAACCAATGAAAACGAATGATTCAGCGCACACCAAAATGACAGTGACGTCATTCGATCTAGTCATTCGTTTGCATTGGTTACATTTTATGTAATATGCTAGACGCGTGCTACTTGCTACTAGCCACGTGCCACGCCACTTTGGTGGGCGCTCTACCTTACTCACCGTGCCTAGCCTATTCATAATTTGTTCCAGTTCTTCTGGTGATGACGCCAATATAACAGTGTCATCAGCATAACGTAGGTTTTTAATTTTTCTCCCTCCTATCATTGCTTCACCTTGCCATTCCTCAAAAACTTGACGTATAATATGTTCAGTATATATATTGAATAGAATAGGGGATATTATGCATCCCTCTCGAACTCCAGATTTGTATTTGAAGTTTTTCCAAACCGCAGTATTAACTCTTACACTAGCAGTATCATTTACATATAGTTTTTATAATAAATAGATTAGATGTTCTGGCGTACCCTTTTCTCTAATTATACGCCCCATTTCATCCCATTTTACGGTATCCAAGGTTTTGGAATAGTCCACAAAACATAAATATGTTTTTATGTTAAACTCTTGAGATTTTTGGATAATTTGACGAATATTAAGAATATGTCCTCTTGTTCCTCTACCTGGAACGAATCTGCATTCATCATCATTCAGCCCATACTCGTCCACTGCTGAACATAGGCCTCCCGTAGTTCACCCCACAAATTTCTGTCCTGAGCCGCCTGCATCCAATTTTGATGTGTCCGTTTCAGGTCATCCGTCCATCTTGTTGGTGGTCGTCCTCTATTCCTAAAGGCATCTTGTCTGGGTCTCCACTCAAGAATGCGTTTTGTCCATCTGCCGTTCTTCGTTCTCGCGACGTGCCCTGCCCAGTTCCATTTTAAAGTTGATATTCTTGGAGAATCTGCATTATTCTTGGAGAATTTGTGTTAAGAGAATTGATTTTAGTCTTTCATTGATGATAGTTAGATTTACTTTGCTTGCGTGTGATATTAATGCTACTGTACGGTAATTACTGCAATCTGTCGGTGAACATTATATATATATATATATATATATATATATATATATATATATATATATATATATATATATATAGAGTGTGTATAACGACGCTAAGAATACAATTCTTTGGAGGGTAACTTTCGGAAAAGCGTCAAAACAAGGATCAGCTAGAGATGGTATAAGCCAGTTTGGTGTAGAACTTTATTCTAAATGTGAAATTTTCGGTGATATGTTTTCACCTTCATCAGCACCTAAATGGAAAACCTATTATAGTACAGTGGTGGAAATCAACATTTAAAAACCTACATTGAAAATGTTCAGTTGGTCCTAGTGGTAAAGAACACTGTCACAAACATGTTAAAAATATTAAAAAATACATTTAAAATTTTGAATAAAAACATTACAACACAACAGGGTAGTTTTTTAAATACAAACACAACAAAAAGTCTAAAATTTACAACCTACAAAAACTGCAAATAGAAAAGAAGAATTAATCTTCTTTTTTGATGACATATTTCTGTCAACATCCGGGTGTCATATGTAACGAGGTTATAATTTTCACTTTTGCACCTCACAACCACATGGATATGAAAAGAAAGAGCCCTAAGCAAGATAATCAGCAAGGAAATGAAGTCTTTTCTCAAGTACAGGTAGGTAATCTATGCATGTTATGATAAGTTCCCTACATTTTCCAGTTTGTTACTTCTTGTCAAGTCCTGTTGAAGTAGAAAGGAATAAATACAACTTAAGTTTTCAACATCTTTCTTACAGTTCATAGGAGAGCTGCAGTTATGGATGTAGCACATTTCTATGAAGTTTCTCTTAAATTGGTTGTCAACCCTCTTTAGTACTTGCACATTTTCATAGTTAGCAGTGTGTCCAGTATTCTTAATATGTTGGCTAAAGGCTGTGCTGGTGGGCTTCCTCACAACATCACTCCTGTGCAAAGCTATTCTTTTTGAGAGTTTCTGGCTGGTTTGACCGACATACACTTCTGAACAAGAACCACATGGAATAGAATACACTACATTGAAGTTATCCAGTTTTTTAACTCTTTCTGTCAGGTGAGTAAAGTATGTCCCTAATATTTTGTAAACAGAATTTGCTATTGTTCCTGAAACTGATTACCTTTTTATACAACAATACATATTTCACTTTTCAAAATGAATTCTATGTCCAAATAAAAGGAGCACCCATGGGTGGAGCTATATCCCCTACTTTGGCAGAAATTGTAATGAACTCCCTACTTCACTACTGTACTCAAGAAGTTGATTTCCAGTTCCCCTTCATTTACCAATATGTAGACGACCTCATATGTGCAGTCCCTGCAGACAAAATCAACTACACTCTTGACATTTTCAACTCATATAACACTCACCTACAATTCACAGTTGAAACAGAAGAAAATAATAGTGTTCCATTCTTAGGCACCTATGTAACCAGACATGAGGACAATACAGTAAGGTTGGATTGGTACAGAAAAAAAAACATTCTCAGGTAGATATGTGCCTTTTCACTCGTATCATCCAGACGAACAGAAGATTAACATCATCAAAGGTCTGAAAAACAGAATAAAAAGAATTTGTCACCCTTCAAACTACAATAAGAACATCAAGTTATTGTATGAGATTCTTAGAAAAAATCACTACCCTAAGATGCTTCTTATTAAATTGCTATTTCAAGATATGCCAACAGTTAGAACACACCAAAGACAAACATTAGAAGGAGAAACAGTAGAAGTGTTCTATGGGAGATTGCCTTACATCAAAGGTTTATCACCACAGATTACAAACCTTTTCAGACAGTTCAACATAGTGATAGCAAATTCTGTTTACAAAAGATTAGGGACATACTTTACTCACCTGACAGAAAGAGTTAAAAAACTGGATAACTTCAATGTAGTGTATTCTATTCCATGTGGTTCTTGTTCAGAAGTGTATGTCGGTCAAACCAGCCAGAAACTCTCAAAAAGAATAGCTTTGCACAGGAGTGATGTTGTGAGGAAGCCCACCAGCACAGCCTTTAGCCAACATATTAAGAATACTGGACACACTGCTAACTATGAAAATGTGCAAGTACTAAAGAGGGTTGACAACCAATTTAAGAGAAACTTCATAGAAATGTGCTACATCCATAACTGCAGCTCTCCTATGAACTGTAAGAAAGATGTTGAAAACTTAAGTTGTATTTATTCCTTTCTACTTCAACAGGACTTGACAAGAAGTAACAAACTGGAAAATGTAGGGAACTTATCATAACATGTATAGATTACCTACCTGTACTTGAGAAAAGACTTCATTTCCTTGCTGATTATGTTGCCTAGGGCTCTTTCTTTTCATATCCATGTGGTTGTGAGGTGCAAAAGTGAAAATTATAACCTCGTTACATATGACACCCGGATGTTGACAGAAATATGTCATCAAAAAAGAAGATTAATTCTTCTTTTCTATTTGCAGTTTTTGTAGGTTGTAAATTTTAGACTTTTTGTTGTGTTTGTATTTAAAAAACTACCCTGTTGTGTTATAATGTTTTTATTCAAAATTTTAAATGTATTTTTTAATATTTTTAACATGTTTGTGACAGTGTTCTTTACCACTAGGACCAACTGAACATTTTCAATGTAGGTTTTTAAATGTTGATTTCCACCACTGTACTATAATAGGTTTTCCATTTAGGTGCTGATGAAGGTGAAAACATATCACCGAAAATTTCACATTTAGAATAAAGTTCTACACCAAACTGGCTTATACCATTGATCCTTGTTTTGACGCTTTCCCGAAAGTTACCCTCCAAAGAAGTATATATATATATATATATATATATATATATATATATATATATATATATATATATATATATATGGAAATAAACGTGAGTTTACCCCAGTCATTTGGCCACTTTTCGGTATTCCAGATCTCATTGCAAATTCTAAGCATTACTTTCGTCCCTAATTCTCCCATTTCTTTGAGTGTTTCAGCTGTTACTTCATCTTCTCCTTCTGCTTTTCTGAATTTTAACTTTTTAATTGCCGCTTCAATTTCAATGTTTGGGGTTCTTTTTCATAACTTCTTTTCTCTGTATTATTGTCTGGATCTGAATCAATTTTTGTCTTTTATTTGTGACTGTGTTACTTTGTGACTTAATTCAAAATTCTACTTGTATTATTTTGTGGTCGGAACCACAGTCTGCACCTGTTTCACATTGATTATATTGAGCTCCTTCATCGTTTAGTGACAAGAATATAACCTATTTGGTTCTTGTATCGTCCTCCAGACGAAGACCATGTTGATAATCTTCGCGGATGTTATTTTATAATCCATCACTATGAAATCACATTTAAATTTTTAATGTTTTTTTGTAGGAGTACTTTAAAAGATGTTAGTATCTACCATTTAGACAACGTTATAATTCATGATTTGTTTATGAATTTCGACACCCAATCATTCGGCGTAGATGCAAGTTTTCCGTCGATAGGAGTTGAGGGTGATTACAAAATGAATGGAAAACTTCTCGTACTTGAATTAAACAGCGAAGGAAAGACTCGAGGAAATATGAGTAAGTTTAGAAATAAGTTATAGTATAATAACGACTGGTTGTGCTAATCTACATTTCGTGTAAAATATAGTGTAGAACGCTTTAAATGGGCGTCGTTTGACCTCTTCTCTTTTACAACCGACCGGATACCTGTGCGAAGCGGTTTAGTTGAGAAGCAGTTCGTTAATAGAGTGTAGAGTGTTTTTGCTGTAATTTAATTATTTTGAATAGTGATGTGGCGTTCATGGGACAATGTGACTGAATATATTGCGTACGATAACAGAGTAATTTTGTAGAAAGTGTCAATGTGGTTGTGAATGTAATTCCTGAAAAAAAAATACCCGTAAAGAAGATTCGAATGCATTTAAATGCTAAAGCACGGCAAGTATGTTTTAATGTGTACAAAAATTTACATAAGAAATGCAGCTTCGATGAAAAACTGTTGCTACAGGCAACTCCTAAATTAACAGAGATTCCATTTTTAACTACATATATGTGTATAAAATAGTTTAAAATAAACCCTATCATCGTAAGAAGCAATGTGACTACAAATTTTCAAGACCTACCGACACTTTTTTACTAGATCGTCATTTATACCTATGCCCAAGAAAAATAAAGCAAATAGATACATACAGTTCAGATTATTTACTCTAATGAGCCATTTTCTGAAAATGTTACTCAAAATTTTACATTAACGTATATACAGAGAATGCGAAAGAAAACTGAGCGACAATCAATTTGGATTTAATATGAGGCTTGGTATGAGGGAAGCATTATTTGGCCTCCAGATATTACTACAAAAATGCTGAGATCAACGAAAAGACGTGTTTCTCTGATTTATCGACTACGAAAAAGCGTTTGATCGAGTAAAACACGTAGAACTTTTAAAAACCCTAACACAACATGGTATAGACTATAACACAGTTGCCCTTATTAAAAACCTAATTGTACTTCCGCTATAGAAAGGTCTTCAAAGATAATCCGGCTTATTCCCCTCAGCTTATTGCTTTTCTTTAGAACTCTTTTGGATGTCACACCCCACTACAAGAAGCTCAAAAAATTTTCTCTGGTATAGATGGTAGTCAAAAAGACTTATCGCAGCTCTACACACTTACAAAAGAAAGATTACTAAAAAACCGGATCATTAGAATCTTAAAAAGTTAAAACAACAGCTCCGACTTACAAGTTTATAGAAATGCCTCCTTCGATAACCCCACCAATGTCGAATTTAATCACATCATACATAATGTCTTAAAATGTCACTCTTTCTTTTGCATTTTTTCTTTGTTTCTTCTATCTGTATATTTTTAATTTTTCTTTCATTTTCGTTTTATCTTTTGTTTCATTTTCGTATTCAAGCTAATTCAGTAAAATTGCGACTCTTCTCTTGGTAGGAGAAAATCCAACACCTAACGTAACAATTTAATCCAGACATTACATGCCTACAAGAAACCAATGAAATAATTTCTATATTCCTTATTTAAAACACTTTGAGGGGTACCACTAGATTATGACCAATTACATAAGAGCCAGTGGCGGCACTTCTATCTTTATTTCTTCTGACATTTTCTTATTATTTATACCATCCACTTACTTTTAAATTAGTAGCCAACTAATTACTGCTGTCCTAACTTACTGATGTCCCAATAAACTCACAATCTGTAATTTATATGTTCCTTCCAACTACGCTCTCAAAAAAAAAAAACTTGGGAACCCAAATTTGGATCAAATGGCATCGATTAAAATAGAGGATCGTATGACAGTAGAAATGTCAATATAAAGAAGAGTTCTCCAGAGCTGTTTACTTTCTTTACTATTGTTTAATATACATTCCGAAAAGATCTTTCAAAATGTCCTCGAAAATATTGAAGAAGGAATAAAAATCAACGGGGAATACGTAAACAACTTAAGATACGCAGACGACACCGTCATTATTACGGACAGTGCTGAGGGTTTACAACGACTTTTGAATGCTTGGGGCTGAATATAAACACAAATAAAACAAAACTAATAGCCGTTACACGTGCACCTAATGCCGACATTAAGATTTTTATCTACAACAAATAGATAGAACCCGTACAAAAATTCCAGTATCTTGGTTGCTGGATAACAAAGGATCTTAACTACTAAGTTGAAAAACGAGTTTGTATAGAGTATGCTAGGTCCACTTTTCAAAGAATGAAAAAATTCCTAATAAACTCTACCGTATCGTTGAATATACGATATCAATTTGTAAAAACATTCATTTATATACTTCATTCCACGAATATACGACTGTTTTAAATTCGCTTTAAGCTGTCGACTTAAATGGTCCAATGTGCTGCATTGTACAATAGTAAATTCTTCCCATTTTTAAAATACTGTTACGACAGATATAAACCTTAGATTTAAATATGAAGTCATGATATAAATATAGAGTTGATAGTTTATATAATAGTTGTAATTCAGAATTTAAATTATATAATTACTATCATTGAGTTTAGTATTTTAAACAAGTTGGTGTTTTAATTAAGTGATTTAAACGAAGTGTAACAATACTTAAGTGATTAAATAGTGTACTTTATTTAGTCGAATATTCAATTAGTATTAAAAAAACAAAAAAACTTACTTATTCTCTTATTCACCTAATCTCCTAAAACTATTATCAACCATCAGATTCACAGTCATAATCACTATCGTCGCTATCCTCATTTGGATGGTAAATTATAATAGGATTAACTGCTTCGATGCGACCTTCACGGATCCACCATTCTTTAATTAAGTTTTCACATTTTTTTACACTTTTTCCCCAAATTTTAGGAGTGGCAATATCCAATGCTTGTTGCCATGTTTCCAAGACTGCCACGTCACTGAAACCCTTGTATCTAATATGGTTATCATAATATGTTTTGCAGATCCCCCAAATATATTCAATTGGATTGAATTGGTAATGATAGGGCGGTAGTCTTAACACACGATGTCCAAACGATGACGTTTGGTTGTGCATGACTTTTAGCTAACGTTAGTAATTGAGGCTTAAAACAGTATTGAGGAAATGTAATAGTTTTATTCGTTAACCATTCTTTTATTTTATCTACAGTCCAGGTGTTTGTTGGTTGCTTATTTAAAATTTCCGAATGATACGCAGCATTATCTAGTACTATAACGGATGGTTCATGTAAACTTGGCAACAGTTTTTCTTTCAACCATTTAACAAACATGTCCGTATTCGTATTGTCATGATAATCGGCTGATTTTGATTTTGATGATAACGCAAGATCTGCTCCCTCAATAAAACCATATTGTCCACCTGCATGTACTATAATATATCTCTTTCCCTCGTTATCGATGTGTTTTATGGATTTTATACTCTCGTCCTGCCAAATTCGTTTGATACCGCCTTTAGCAAAGATCCATGTTTCGTCTAAATAAACGAAGGAAGAACATTATTTTTTAAATTTGTTGTAATTTCTTAAAAATTCTCTTCATTTGTGAACGACACTAGCTCTTTTACACAAAACCTTTCTATTGTCTTCCTTTTTGAACTTAAAGCCAATCTGTTTTAAAACTCTCCAGAGACTTGTTCTGGAAATTTCAAATATATGTATTTCTGTCTTTTAATTTTTGTAGCACTGAATCTAAAGAAACATGTTCTTTCTTTTCGCGCATTTTATATATTGTCTCACGGATTTCAAATTTGCAACCTTTGGGAAGATCTATAGTCTTTGGTTATCGGCGAGATTTATATTGTGCGACATTTTGTTCACTTTGTCCACTTTTTTTTCTTTTTGCAAAACCGACTGTAGTTTTGTTTCACTAATACAGAGTGCATCACACACACGTTTATGTACGGATTGAACAGGTCGCAAAGGGCCCCCGTTGGTTTTCTCAGCAGTAAAATAAGAAAGTACATTAAATATAAACTTGTCTACGGTTCTAAAACACGTCTCGGCATTTTTGGCTTCAATAAACAAATACACTACACTAAACTCTATCTTAACGGACACCTCTCTTAACCGGAAACCTCTATACGGACGGTTTTTAAAACTGGAATCAGTCGGCGATATATGAAACTGTATGTAAATTTTCGTTACTTTTTAATATCTGTAACGACTCGGTACTTTAACTATCAATAGCCGGTATATTATACCCGTTATAAACTTCAGAACTTAAGAGTACATCCACTCAAACCAAACAAATATTTAAAACTGACAAACTGAACTATCATATAGATTCTATTTCTGGTTTCTGAACCATCGTTCTGCCAATTTCTTTTCATTTATAATAAAAATAGTATATTTATTTTTATTACAGTTCTAGTACCTAATAAAGTAATAAAATATAATATCAAAGAAACCCGGCACGCCTCTTTGCATTTATTTACAAATGTTTACATTTCAAATGTACTTTGTTTACATTTCACCGAAATCCAACCCAAATGTCTGATGAACACATTTTCGTAAAAATGAGCGTTTGCGTAAATTTTTTTTTTATTTTCGGATTAAATTTCACAATAATATTTGCGTCTATTTGTACATCTATTAACTGAAATGATTTTAGTTCAGATGTAATACTAACAGTAGATGCTTTTTATTGGAATAATAATTAGACCAATTTACTTTCATACTTCTACTTGCACAGTAAAATATTCGTTGTCGCAATAATCCCAAACAGTCGTATATTCGTGGAATAACCTATACCATTTTGCTATACGGAGTGGAAACATGGACTCTCGGAATCACAAGTATGAGACGTGTAGAAGCCAAGGATGCTGAAGATCTCCTTTCTTGAAAGTTCAACAACACAGATTACTTACTCAGAGGTAACCATTAAAACTATCATCCATACCTGGTAATAAGCTGATCTCTAAAGAAAAAATCACTTCCGGTAAAATTGTAGATAATATCACTCCAGTACCTTTTACATCAGGTATTTCACAAATAAGGAATCGCGGTAGACAATTGGCTGCAGTACTTACTAGCCCAGTGAATTTGGCGATACACAAATATTTAGTTAAATCATGAATTTGTTGCTTGTGTGAG